CACATACACACACACACACACACACACACACACACACACACACACACACACACACACACACTCGCACTCGCAACCACTAACACGCGTAGTAAACACAACACTGATCAAGGCAACCACGTGATTGGACGCTGATCGAAGAGTATCCCACATGATAAGACACAAGGCGCGTTGCTGGGTGGGGCTGCGAAGATGCACAGCCAATCAACATGGCTGTGCATCATCGAATAGATCCACTCGTGCTGTCATTGGTCGACGTCGCACTGAGAACCAATCAAGCTACAGCCATGTTTTAAACCTCTGAGTCATTAGGCATTTTTTTTCTGAATACAGTAGTTTGAAAGAAAAAAAAAACCCGATGCACCAAGGCCGCGATAATCGAACCGCGAAATAGCGAGGGATCACTCTACTTGTAATGCAGTAAATATTCCCATCCCCTAAATTCTATGAAAAGGAATATCCTTCACTCATAACAAAAACCTATGCATTAACATTTTGACTACGATATTCCATGTTACCGGAACTTACGTAAGCGGAAATTCCACTAGCTGTAACCCGGATGGAGGCGTAATGCCGCGGGAGCTTAAATACACGCAACGCCCACCCGATGCGACGGACAGACGTGTCTACCACACGTTTTCACTTTGCGTTTTTCGATCATCAGATACGAAACGACGACGTGTCAGTGAGTGTCAGGTTTATCCAATTTGACACTCAGGAATAAAACACAAGGAGGAGACAGGAGACTCAATTCTGGTACCAGGAGGGAACGAGGAGAAGCGTTCGGTTTCAGTTCTCGGCACGTCACCCCTCACGATCTCCCCCTTCACCCCCTTATTTATTGGGAAATCTACTACATAGGTGTGTCCAACCTAAAGGGTGGGGGCTGTTGAAGACACACTGAACTTGTTTGACTATGTGTGTGTATGTGAGTGTAAATTACGTACATGTGTGCAATTGTTACAAAAACATCACGTTGCAGCTGGTGTTGATGGCTCCATTCACTGTCCAACCTTGCTCCTGTTTAGTCTTAACACTTATCTCTTCCCAACCACGTCCTCGGAAAGGTGGTTGCGTCCCTAAACTTCCACACAGTGCACTAAGCATTCTTGATTATAAATGTGAGTACATAATGATTAATATATTTTTATGAGAAGCATAAGCGTTCTTCATGCAGGCATAGTCAATTAATGATTGCAGGCATAAGCGTTCATCTTTGCAAGCATAATCAATTTATCATTGCAGGCATAAGCTTTCTTCTTTGCAAGCATAATCAATCAATCAATCAATCAATATCAAAATAATAATAATAACATTCATAATAAGCGAATGTATGATAACTATAAATAATCAATCTGTCATTCCCCCTTGTATATCCTACATTTGCTCATATCACACAGAACCTTCCCGACGGACTTTATTCAGTGGAGTCATGCACATGCAAACATAGGTAGACCCAGGGGTTGAAAAGAAAGAGGTTATCACCAGATCAAAAATGAGACCGAAAAAGAACCCAGGAAAAGATGGTAAACATCGTCCACGACATCCTGATACCTAAATGAATACAAGTCACCATAACCCGAGTTGTTTTCCACATCAGAATCACTGCCATCCCAAAAGCAACAGCAGAGGGTACATTCCATTCACTTTAGACATCGTGGGCGCCATAACCGTAGTGATAAATTGGATAAGCAGAGCTCTTGATACAGGGACCGCAGCAAATCCACACAATGTCGAGATAGCTGAGAGAAAAGAATTTGAAAGATTAAGACATAACACACCAGTATGTTACGTGACAAAGGTCTCACTCCATAACCATAACTCTGATGACAAGGGCGTGGTCACGCCGGAATGATCCGGTTCGGTGTGCGGGGCCCTCAGGGGGTGGTTGAACAGCATCGTTCACCACAAACCGCACACGCTCGATTGGCCTCAGCCAAGAGCACATTGACCGCTATGCGGTCCCGGAACACCATCAGAGAGGTGACTGTCAATTGTTTTACTTTCAATCGCCAAAAAAGGCTTCCTCAGTATAATTTGCAAGCTTCTTGACACTGTAGTGGAGGTAGCAGATCCCGTCAGCACGTTTATAAAAATGAATTCCCACTGTGCAGCAACCTGGTTAACCAATTTATACTCATCTGGTACGCCACGAGGAACTCGAATTACACCAACGTAGGTGGAATCTCAAATATCCCCCTCCTGTGGACAGAAACATAGTCATTGGTAAAGCAGTGACACCAATGCGCAAACACTTGTGACAACTCTTAAAGCAGAGCTCTTTCATGATTCTTCGCAAAGAAAAAGAAAAACTCTCGGCTGCGATAATCATCATTTGCCTTCAAAATCGGTAGAAATACACTACTGCATTACATTGTATCCACACAATAAAATAAAAATAAAAGACCAAAAGAAAGAAATATTGTTCAACTTTCAGCAAAGAATAACTATATTAACGTCGGGTTGTTTTCTTTTTTCCTTTTACCATAAAAGTTTTCCTTTTACCATAAAAGAAAAGATCCTGAACGCATAAAATCACCTAAGCAATGTATTTAAAATCCGTATCTGAACCTTTATGACCAAATTAATGCACCATTTGAACTAGAAATAAATCAATAAACAGTAATAATTCCAAATTCTGCCCAGCAAAATCAACCAAGGAGCAGAAAACATAAACCACTTTAACCTCCAAAACAAAACCAAATAAAACAAGTCGTGTTTTTTTTTTTTTTTTATCACTCTTGGTGTGTTCACTTCTCAATATATATATATATTTTTTATAATGAGATCAACTAGATCGATTATAAATAAAACACTTTGCCTCCAAAACCAAAATGTATACAACAATTTGTGTCGAAATGTGTTTTTTTTTCTTTTCTTTTCCCAAGATCATCTAGATCACAGGTGTCAAAGTCAAAACCCCACATAAATTTATGTGGCCTGTGAAAACAATTCACGCACAAACTTTTATATCAATAATGTCGAGATTTTGTGATAATTTTGTTTCCTGTTAACGCTCACTCAAACAATAATTGAACAAAATATGACTGGTTTCAGAATTGTTGTTATTAATAAATCATTTCAACATTGTATTGCTGATATTCACTCCATGTACATCAGTTTGTATACAGTGATGGTTGATTTAAGTTGCTCTATAAACACAGTTGAGTTGAGTTGCACAATTTATAAAATATAACCATTTAATTCAATTTCACCGTCGTAACGACCCACCGAAGGACGATGTAACTTTTAACTCCAAAGTGGCCCGAGATAAAAATGAGTTTGACACCCCTGGTCTAGATCTATGAGCAAAATGTAGGTTATTATCAAGAAATACATCCCCTTTCATATGTGCTAAAGGAGAGCACAAATACCATATAAAAAAGGAGAAGATCAGCACAGAGTTCCATATGTTAGTGTGATCATATAACAGGAAATGACATGCCACTACTGATATTCTAGCATGTCGACAGAAACACACCCTAAATGAGTGCAAAGGTGTCTTGCAACTTCTTCCGCCGGTCGTTTGATGTTCCCAGTAACTAAAATACTGTGCCCATCGCGTCACCGGACTTCGCTCACCTTCCTCAGTGGATGTTTCTATCGAGATGACCTTTTTACAATGCCCGTCAATCGGTGTGGTCAGCAACACTTCAAAGAAGTACAATGTTTCTTTTTTATGTTTCGAATCAGAGCCAGGTCTGCTGGAACCACCATTTCATCCTGCTGTAAAAGAGCACAATCATCCTACCCCAATCTCAATTCATTTCTTTTTTTAACTAAACTTTCTCACATATAGTCAGCCGAATACCCAGTTCACAATTGTGTAGAAAATATCAGTAACTTATATGGTCTCCCTAACAATATTTCAAGCAAAGAAGGAGACACCATTCTCGTAATATTGACATATAAATCAATTCAATTTCTTCAATTGAATTTTAACCATATAATTTCATACTTGCTACCAATCCTGCAGATTGTGGATGGCAGGAGCAATAGTGTCTCAGATAAAATGTGAAACATGCATTCTATTTTATCAATTAACCTGTTCACGAAATGTGTTCCACTGCCGTAAATTTTCGACCCATTTTGGAAAAGCCTCAACCAAACTCAGGCAATATGGCATCCCCTCATTAATTCAACGGAACCCATGTGCATTATCTGAAATGAAAATGTAGCTCAAAGAAAACTGACCCCATTCTATTCCATTTCATTTCAGCAAGTTGAAATGAAAATGTAGCTCAAAGAAACGGACCCCATTCTAGATACAAATTACCTTGTGTACCAAAACATTGGTTCAAACCATAGGTTGTATAATGTTTCCGAACCAGAGACACCATTCCCTCTGCCAACGCGTGAGATAATTCATGACACAAGAAGAATTCTTGGCAAAATGGGTTCACTGTTCTTCGCCACATTCTTTGTTAACCGATTGGAATTTGAACTTAACCTAAAACGTTATCATGTTGCTGATAGTCAGCAAGTCCCCCCCTCTCAAAAACAAAAACAAAAATAAACAAAACAGAAGCTGCACCCATAGCTGCTTTGTTGCTGTGTGCGCCGCACCTAAAACACCACAATTTCATGCAATAACGAATAGCATTCGTTTGTCTGATTTACCAATTAAACACATACAATACAATACATCCTAATTTATATAGCTCTTTAACAGCTGTAACAAAGCGCCCCACAAAACAGTTAACATAAAGTAAAACAACAAACATAACACATAACATAAAACAAGTACATCCTAACCGCTTTTCCCTCACACTCTTCGTTGTGGAAATACCACATATACATGGATATACCGCATATATTTTTTATGTTACTCTTCAGCCAATTCCTAACAATCATATTGGCTACCATGCTGACCAGAAAATGTGCGACCCACTTGCTGTGTCCAAAAACAGGTTCAAAAGTAAACCGCAAAATAACTATATAAACCAGTTTTAAGCCAATAAACTGATGAGATGTCGTAATGTAATGGGGCACCAATTATGAGTAAGAGAGAAAAGTGATGTAAAACAACAAACATATCATATGCATAAGGGGAAATGCACTTGTCAATATCTAGATGTCTTCCTTAGCCTGTCAAACGAGATATACCAAATAAATGACCCATTACAATATTAATTAATTCATTCAATCATGCACCTTCCGATCCGCTTTATGCTCACAATGTTCGCGGGGGGTGCTGGAGCCCATCCCAGCCATCTTCGGGCCGTAGGTGGGCAACACCCCGAACCGGTCGCCAGCCAATCACAGGGCACACACAGACACGTACAACCATCCAAGCCCATGCTCACACCTAGGGACGATTCAGAGTGTTCAATCAGCCTGCCATGCATGTTAATTGCAATATTAATATCAAACAAATGAAAACACACAAAGAACGAGAGGTCGGACTAGACAAGTTCGTTGTACTTCCTCCTACACCCTCTCAAATCACGATTACCTGTTTATATGCCCAACAAACAAACAGACAAACAAACACCCATCAGGAAGCAGGAATAAAGCAGCAGGGTTAATTACTGTGCATTCTTCCAGTGTTAAATGGGATCGACATT